TGGGACAACCTTTGGACAAAATTTGAACATCTTGGACATTTTTAACTATTAAAATTGCTCAAAATTTTATTAACAACCTATTTCAACTTTCTAAGTAAAATGTTTAAAATCAAATAAAATATATAAACATGTTTTTTTAAAATAAATGTTTTAATAGTTAAAGCTAAGATAAGCTTTAGACACTTGGACGTTTGGATGTTAGACATGCTAAAAAAGGCTTTAGACATCAAAAACATATATCCTTGTCTAAACCTACTAACAATTTTTTTAATTTAAAAATTTTTGTGTATTGCGGATAACTAAACAATTTAACAGATAGCCGGATATCTCTACGGATTAATAGATAACTTCACAGATAGTACATAAACTCATAAATAACCGGATAACTTACGGATAATCAACAGATACCTTAATATTTTTCTTAGAAATACCTTTATTCTCTCAAATATAACAATAATTTTGTAATTATCATAATGTATAATAGTCAAGTTACTTGAAATTTGGTTTAATAAAAAACTTTTTTCAGGGCAATATAAAACCGATTTAAAACATCGCTATCTCTAGTTGTGAATACATTATTCAATAAAGACATCAATCACCCAGGTGGTTGCTAATTGATATATCATACTCCGGAGTACTCCAGTTTAAACCCAAACCAGCTAGAGTAATTATAAAATATGTTAACCTGAAAATTCAAACAGATTTATTAAAGTTGAAACCAAACCGGAGTATCATATTAAAGCTTAATACTTCGAGCTGGTTTAGGTTAAATTAATTTCAAACAAATTCAACCTAATCTAATCTATTAATAACTCCAGATGACTTCAATTTGTTAACATTTAATAATAATAATTAATGAGATAATACCATTCTACATTACATATTGGTATATAATTCTTTTCAGTGTGCCCAGTTTTCAGTAATCAATCTTTCAGATTGATCCGGCATTGCTTAACAGATTTAAAAATCAAAAGAATCAACTACTATTATATGCGTAAGTTGATAATTTATGCATATGAAATATTTTTACATACTAACTCAAGTATCCGATAGTTCTGAAGAGAAAATTTTCATGCAATATAAGATTAAAAAATTACCTTTCGTATAGGCTTATTAATTTTTTGTAATGTCAAATTTTATATAGCAAACTGATTATTTAAAAAAAAAAAATTTAGTTAAAAAATTACTGTTTAATATGAACAGCAAAATTTTATAATGAAATAACAGTCATTTAAAGTTAACGCACCTGAAAGTCATATAAAAGCTGGTTGAAACACATCTAATTTTTAAGAAAATCTGTCCTTAAATATTAGCCAAAGTGTGTAAATTAATGATTAAATGATTTCCATGCTATCAGAATAATTTTTTTAATAAATATTTATTTCATGCACTTAAGGACGTAATAATCACCTGGTACCTAACAATAAAAATATTTTAAATAAATTGTTTTAATACAATATAATAATTATAGTATATTGGTGACGCCAAAAGAAAACCAAACTTCAATTATATAAATTTTATATGAGCAAAAGTCCAAATTTCTCTTGGCATCACCCATATTATATTACCAGATTACTATTCTAAGTGCCTCCTATTTTTACTGATAGAAAGTAGCCATTAATTAGAACAAAAATTATCTTAATTTTCAGGTAAAGATAAAAAAAACTTCTATATTTTTTAATACATTACCTATCCGTGCAACTAAACCAATATTTGGTACAATTTAAAATCATGATAATTTTCATCATTAATATATATTGAGCTCTAAACTATATATGTAAACTTTATTATTATAAAATTTTATTGAATTTATACATTTCAGGTTCTATTAACATCCGGAAAGATGTCTCCAACAATCTGCCAATTATTTCTTAAAAATACTAGATGCTCAAAAGTTGTAGGCAAAAGCGATGTTCTTTTTACTGTCATCGTATTTCCAGCATCGCTAAAAAGCCTTTCGCTTGTGGTTGAAGTAGCTGAAATAGCCAAATATTTTCAAGCTAACTTACTTAATATAGGATTCATTGTTGATTATTACGCCACCAAGTTAATGGACACTGATTCCATGGGATTTCTTGGGTTCCAAGATAATCTGAAACCTCCAACTGTGGGCACTTATTCTGAAACATTGAGGCTAATAAAGAGTTTGAATTAGTTTGTATATCATTATCCTCGTCTTCCATTCTGTATCAAACCCGGATTTCTTCATATTCAGTTTTAAGCAATTCAGAAGCTCTTTTTTTCAAAGATCCTGACATAAACAAAAGAGGTTTGCATCGAGGATCCAAAAGCACTGCTAATATAGCTTCATTACTAGGTATATCCCAATAGTGCTCCATAGCACTATATAATGCTGCTTTTATTTTTTTTCAAGATCAACGCAATTTTGTTTATTATTGATATTAATTTGTCAGCGTCGATTTGTTAGGTGGCTTTTTTCTTCATCTTCATAAATGACGTCATCATCAAAAACATCGTCAGAAGAATCAAAGTCATGATTTGAGGTATGGTCAAGCGAAAAAAGCTTCTGTTTAATCACTGTAATTGCACCATACATAAAACTAATAGTAGCATATTTGCTACCTCCTAATAGATCAGTAGCTTTAGCGAAAGGTTTTAGAATTGTAATTAATGATAAGATCGCATCCTATTCATCATTTTTTAGATTAATTTGTTCTAAGCGATGACCATCCTTTCGATTTGCGTTATTATTATTTAATACTAAGTTTGTTATCATCATATTAACAATGTCTCGAATTTTTATAAGTCGTTGCCATGCAAGATATGACAAGTTCCACCGTGTAGAGACATCAGCAATTACTCGTAATTGATGGTCATTGTCTTCTAAATCCTAAAATAATAAAATAATTAATCTTTTATATAAATAAAAATTTATTAATTTATATACAAAGTAAAATACTTACCATATTTTCAGTGCGATGCAGATTTTTTTGTGCATCTATTAATCTTTCCGTCTGTTTAGATGTGGTAAAAAACAACATAAGCCTTTTGGCACGTGCTATAAGAAGCTCAGCATCTAATAACCCTTTTCCAATAACGAGCTGCAGGGTATGAGCTGTACACAGAATCTAAACAACATTTGAAATGCAACATATAGCCTTAACCATATTGCTCCTGCTATCTGTAGTGATAGTAAAAACTTTATTTGTTAATCCCCATTCATCAATTACAAACTTTAGTGCCTCCGCAATTGATTCTCCAGTATGTGGAAAGGGGAAATATTTAATTGTAAGAACTAGTTCATTTAATTGAAAATTGTTATCAATAAAAGAACATGTTACTCCAAGATATCCCATATGATTATGTCCTGTCTAAAGATCACAAGTCAAAGAACAGGATATAATGTTTTCATTAAGTATTTTTTTAAGACATTCTTTCGAATTTATAAAAGCATCCGCAAGTAATTTTCGGCAGAGTTTTTCACTGGTCAATTTATAATTCAGATCAAACTCTTGTAAAAATTCGGCAAAACCAATTCTTTCCTGTATATTCATAGCCAATTGGTCCTTGACTATCATACTAATGAACTTCTGGTCTCATCTTGTCTTTCATTTAGGATCACTTGTTACTAATCCTTGAAATATTTTATCAATACCCGGTTGTGTAGATTGCTGCTGCCTAAGTTTTTGTTTGTGTAATTCTTCTGTAATTGCATGCTGTAAAACTAAATGTCCAATAAAGTTACTGGTCGAAGTGTCTGTTGATCCCATTAAATGACTACATTGATAAGTTTTATTATTTTTATTAATGCTAACCAAGCATCTAACTATCCTTTTATAAGGCTACACAGGTTTATATACCTGATAATAATTCAAGATCCAACTTTTTCCAGATACTTGATTGGTAGATTCAAGCTGAAGTTATTTAAAATCAGGTTTGAAAGGTTGATTAGTACTAGAAGGTTGATTGGCACTAGAAAGTTGATTGGTACTAGAAGGTTGGTTGGCACTAGAAGGTTGATTGGTGCTAGAAGGTTGATTGGCACTAGAAGGTTGATTGGTGCTAGAAGGTTGATTGACACTAGAAGGCTGATTGACACTAGAACTATTCACAGATGGCACATTACTAATTGCTTGATTATTGTCATCCTCATTACTGTTTTCTTTGGTTGACACCTTAATATTAACTGTGCTTTTACTAAAATAGTTTGTATTAACTGTGCTTTCGCTAGACTTTTTTTTTCTTTTTACTATAGTCGTGGAAGTGCCTGAACGTTTTCTTGATTGTCTTGTAAAAAACTCATCACCGTCAACATTTTCTCTTAATTCAGATTCCCCATCGCTTAAGGAAATAAAATCAGACATGTTTTCTTGTTCTCTATGCTCCATATCTCTTGTACAAAAATTTTTTTCACAGATGATCATACGTACAACATATTTATAGTGTATCAATGTATAACCAAAGTCACAGGATATTTGAACATTTTAGATATATATATAAACGGAAAAAATAGAAAAGTTGATTTAAAAATTATTGAATCCTAAAAAAAAATTATTATAATAAAGGTTCTTATCATATAAATATAGCCTTTTTAAATGAATACTAAACAGCGAAGTGTTAAAAGATTACTGGATCTTAAAAATATCTATAGTTTTTATCGTATAAACAAGACCTCAAAGAAAAAAAGCCTGTAGTAAATCATAGGTTCTTATCGCATAAATATACCTTATAAATAGGAGATATATTAAAAAAAAAAAAAAAAAATTAGATTTAAAAATGTATGTACGTACATATGTATATAGCGATAATGTAAAATTAAAATAGGAGTAAAAAAAAAAAGAATGATACTAGTTGGGCACTGTAAATTTACAGTTTACATTTATTATATATGAACAAATTTTCACATTTTTTTAAAAGCGAGACTCAAAAGCCTAATAATTGGTAATTGGAGCTTAATGTTAATAAAAAATATTCACATTATTTTACAATGTAGAATTAGGTTATTCTTTACATCTGCGCTTATATAGGTTCCAATTATGATCTTTCTGAAATTTACCAAAAGCATATATTATCCTTATGCCAAAAAGTAACGTACGCATATATTGCACAACATTTTACATAAACTGGTCTTTATCGTTATTTTCAGATTAGTGCGATATATGGATCTTGTGAATCCTACATATAATTCCTGCATATTTGCATTGTTTTTTAACAATAGTTTATGCGAAATTCATAGAATTTACAAGTTTTATATGTGAAAACAGAAATAACTTAACTGTATTTAAAAATTTGATACTACTTTTAATTAGTTATATCCGGATACCTGCAGTTTTTACGGATACCTACCAACATCAATGGATACCCACGGATATCTTCAGATACTCGCAGATATCTGCTAAATTATCCTTTTTAAATCTGATGGATAAAGGTTGTTATTTTTAACAAATTTATTGTATCCGGTTATGCATAGATCACACAGATATCCGGATAAATAGTTTACAGTTCCAAGCTTTAATTTAGGGGTATAGAAATGTCACATGAATATCTAAGGTGTAATATATCTATATATATAAAAGTAACTGTTTTAATCTACATTATCTGAACTTTTAATTTTGAATTTATAAGTTTCCTTGTAAACACTTTTATATAATCAGCCCAAAACTTAAATATCTACAGCTTTTATAAATCTTTTTGATCTAATAAAATTTTGGTGTGCTATAAAAAATAATTTCACAAATACTATCTTAAGAATCATTCCTATTATACTTATTATAATTCTAAATTTAAGATATTTATAAGTATTTTTTGTCTTCATTATATAATAAATTAGATTTTTTTAATATATATATATATTTTTTTAAAAATTTTATAATTTAGCGCATATGTGTTGTGACGCACCCCATAAGATCCAGTATAACATAAAATCAAAACAAACCAGCAACACATTAATTTAGGGTAAGGGTTAACACTAATGTAAAGTTAGATTAGATTGTAGGTAAATGTTAATTATACCCAAAATTTTGCAAAGAATTTTTTTTGTTAGAGCTCAAAATGTGGTTTCATAAGCAAAATTATGAGTTACAGGCGATTTTTTCAAAATATCACTATTTTTTTTGATTTTATATTACACCTGATTTTATGATCTGGTTGGTTGATCAGGGGGTGCATTACAATGCACATACGCTAAATTATAAACCCTTTTTTTTATATTATTTTATTTTATATTATTTTATTTTTTTATTTTATTTGCTTTTTTCTTGCTTATAAATATGGCACACTACTCTAATGACCTAATGTTTAGAAGAAAAAAATTTATTATCTAGCATTATAATATTTTTTGAAAGTTTACAATGCTTCTCATATTTAATGTAAAATTTGAATTTAGCTAACTCAAGAGACATAATATAGTAATTATCATTGAAGTATTCACTTTATTGTTTTAAATTTTAGAGAAAATAACTAGATTATTAATTATACATATCAAACTTCTCTTTTATACACAATAATAATATATATACAATTGGGTTTGGGCCCCGTAGCTTACTGGTTAAGCTCCCAAACCCCACAGACAAGGTCGACGGTTTGAGTCAGGCTGGTAGCAAATTTTTGAATTTGTTACTATAACTTTAAAATGGGCTATAATCAGATGTGAAGCCCTGTGGAAAGTCCAAGTGCAAGTATGGTTTTGGAATAGGAATTCCCAGAAGGAGCCCTGATCATGGAGTGCAGGCATCATGTATGACAGTAGCGTCACAAAAGGTCTAGGCTGTAGAAGATCGCACATATTAGACCTCTGGTTGGGGTGACTTAGAGGCAACACCAACATC